TTGCGTTGCTTTTTGTAGCGCGCCTGCGGCAGTCCTTGCGCGGCGGTACCCTAGGGACTTTGAGAGACCGGGTCCGCGACCCATCGAACTCGCGGAGCGAAAATAGCTGCAGCAGCGCGATTGCTTTGGCAAGTCCGTTTGTTGCGCTCCTCAACCACCACCTGCTGTACCACTACCACTACTACTGTTCCTAGCACCTTTCTATTCTATGCATCCGGCCTGCAAGAGCCTCTGCTGGGAACCAAGCGAGTAGGTAGTATTACCAAGCGCCTGCTACGAGCTACACATTACTCACCACTAACGACTGCCTGCCTGCGAACTACGAACTGCGACGACGGCGGCGACGAAGACTACGGGGCGAGGGGAGGAGGAGTGGGGAGTTCAGGTCACATGGCGGGAGAGCGAAAACGAAGGGTTCGGGTGGGAGCAGGCCGTTCGTTTGGTGGCGCAGGTTCGTGGTTGAGTTCGGGTGGATTGAAGGCGAGTTCTGGAGCACAAACGGAGAAGTGTTTTGGTGGAGGGGCGCGAGGTCGAGTGGGCTTCCACATGGTTTGCAACACAACCTTTAACATGCTCTATGTGGAATTACTGCGACCCAAATTCGTAGCAGCACGCGCAATGCCCACACACAGGCTCCAAGACGCGACATGAGGGAATGGGCCTCTGCTGCTGGAGCTTCGGACGCTTTTCGCGCACCTGCTCAAGTCGAAAGTGTGAAAATGCTTTGGCATGCCAGCGCCCAGGAATGTATACTGTGGCAGCACGCAGGGACTTCAGCCATCCTGTCGAAGCTATGCCGAAATGTTTGATACACACGACGCTGACTCGACTGTACCAACTCCTCCAATAGAACAAGTGCAATTTCCGCGCAGAATAAGCACTCTCTTGGGTGAAGGGATGACATGCTGTCGCTGGATATCGGAAAACAAGGAGGCGCTTTGTGTCCCATCGATGGACCAAAGCGTGATTTCATGCATGCTGCAAGTTTGGGACAAGCCAGTCGGTCAAGAACCACCCCAGAAGCCGGACATGCTGGAGCAGCGATTATAGACAGCAGCCATGAAGTCTACATCCGACAAAAGGGTCGTAACAAATGAAACCTTCGCCGGCATGCTCACCGGAGAATGAGGCATGAACTATTCCTCCACAATGGGACTCAGATCTCAAAGCAGGGATGCTCCATTCGCCTTTGCCGGCTTCCTTGCTGGCTTTCCGGGAGCTTGGCTTTGGCGCATTGAATGCCGCCTCCAGGTCTTCAGACGTCGAGCCTGGAAGCTGGGTGAGTGAGTGGATGCGAAACGCTGGCCAGCATATTGAAAAACCTGAAAATACGACATTGAATACGGAAAAGATCCGAAGAGTCGGACCTGTGCTCAGTCTGCGAAAGCTGTGGCGGCGTTCACTCGACAGTACCTGGACAGAACCATCTCGTGATGGGGATGCCTGACGTTTTGAAGAGATGGGTTGCACTCGGAATGCTCCGTCGCCCCAAGGAGCAGGGCCCACGTAATCTTCGCAACGTGTCTTGCCGCCACCTTTCCGCAATCACATCGGCTTATCCAAGATTCGAAGCACCGCGGTGATGGTAAGGAAACTGCATTGTCGACGATCGCCAATATGAGATCTTTGTTCGCCCCGAGTGTAAGTTCCGAAGCGGAACCCCGCCCCTTCAACCTGTCGAACTTTGAGCAAGCAACTGTTCAATCATGCTGTCACAGCTGGCGCGCTTGCTCTGAGTGCTGCACATCGGGAATGGCTGCTGGGTTGGGTTCGCCATGCAACTAGGGCAAACACAGACAATCACATGCTGCTCTTCAATGAGGCACACACACACACACGCAGGCAAACACACACACACACAGACACAC